TTAAAAGTTTAATTTAAGAAATGTACGTTTAAAAGTCTTTTGTCATCGTAAAATTTACGGATTTTTTTTCTCGCAATTTTTTGATTGCCTCATCTCAATCTTTATTGCCTCTTTCATCATACTAGTACTTTCAATTCACTAATAATTTAATATTTATTGTATGGATTTATTGTATTAGAGCCAGATTTAAAAAGAGCACTTTCATAAGGGAATACCATAAGGTTGTTACATCTGTTTATTGTTGGAGGATAAGCTCGGAATGAAAGACAGCAGATAAAGTTAAAATTGTTCTTTTTTTCAAAGGGTGTATTCGCTTTGACAAAAGAATATATAAGAGAAAAATTTCCAAAAAGTTTTAAATATTAATCGTTGTTTTCTAGTTTAAATTTTTCAAATTTGTTTTTTATATCTTACATTTAAGTTGGAATTTTGTCCGTTAAAGCATTTTTGCAAGGTTGTAACATCTGTTTATTGTTGAAGGATACAAAAAATAAGGAAACCTGATTTTGAAAATCTGCCTCAAATTTATACCTATCATTTTTATAGACGGACTAGCTCATTTGATTTATGAGTTGGTTTTACACCGTAAAATGTTTCTTTTTAAAGATAAAGTTTTAAAGTTTTCAAAGACTATTTTAATTGTTTTATAAACTTGTGTATTTTCCTTCAATTATCTATCCTTGTTTCCTTCAATTATCTATCCTTGATACAAGAAAAACTAAAGAGATGTCAAATTGTAACAATCAAATGTACAGTTGGCAGTCAGGCGGAACAAACCTCAGAATAAACACACTTTCTCCGAGGACAAGGATAACTCACTATGTGTTCTATCAATTCTTGGAAGTGAATATAAATTTAATCACAATGCTTATATCAGTAACTGTACTCCCTTGGTTTTCATTTAGGCCTAATAATTTGCACACATTAATGATTTTTATTAATTAAATAGCCTAGACATTTTTTTTTTTATGCACAATGAGAAATAAAGACTTCAATTATTACGTTTAGAGATGACAAACTCAGAAACTCAATGGGGTACTCACTAAAATAAGATGGAAAAAACAAATTGTTAAATGTATTCAGCCTAATGTAATTAATCGGAACGGAAATCGACAAGCTTTTTGTAGAAAAAAAACCAAGCCCGGTCCTATAGGTCAAATCCCTCTTTGTAATGAAGTGATCCTTTAAAAGGTATGTTTTACTTCTCTACGGCGAATGTTTCTATCAAATGAAATAAAATGTTTTTGTGCAGTAAGACTAGCATTATTAATTGTGTGTGTGTTTTTTTTTTGTTTTTTTTTTCTTATACAATTTTGTGTTTCAACAGATTTTAAGATATATCGTACATTTTTTCAAACATTCGAAATAATGTCTTCCGATAGTATGGTAGATGAACACGTCGAGCGGGGTAGGCACTAGTTTTGTAGATTGATTTTGAAATTAGCAATCAAGTAAAAAAAAACTGTCGTCACATCGAATAAATCTAAAAATCGTACACAAAAAATAACTAAATGCTTCGTTTTCATCTCAATCGCATGGATTTTATGAAATGAATACTATTAATTTTATTTTCTGATTTATGCAAAAAAAATCGTAAAACCTATTGAAATGATTTTCTTTATCAAAAGTACAGAAGTCTGCATTACATAAACCATCAGTTTTAATATATTTCCATTTCTAATTTTTCTCTCTGTGATAACTCTTTGAAAGTTAGCGGAGTTGATATCTTCATAATTCTACCGGAATGTAAATTACGCAGGTCGATAGGTCAGGAGCTAAGGAGGCCTATCATGCATTCAAATCTCGTGCGCATCAGTCTTTGTGTCTGATGCTAGGGAGGCCAAATATGCATGTAAATGCGTCTGCCTTTGTGCTTGACGTCAGTGGACGAGGACTATTAAAATTGGCATCGGGGTCCTCGAGTAATTTAAATCTATGTCTACATTTTTAAAATCTAAATTTAAAATGTTTTTCACAATGAAATGGAAATATAAGGAATCACTGTCTAGTTAGCATAGTATGCCAGGGACATCAACGATAGTGGGAAACAAGGGATAATTTATGCAAAACGTTCTTCGCATACTATACTAAGTAGACAGTGATTCCTAAAATCATTCTTCACAGAGACTTGTTTAACAGAGCAAGCGCTCGCGAACATTTCTATTGCAGGTATAAGGAATTTTGGAGAGAGCTCGCGAACGTTCGCTCTGTTGAACAGGTTCACTCATGTACTGTGATTTCCTCAATTTTCATTGCCATTATTTTTTGTGGATTTTGTAAAAGAGACGTTTTCGAAGATACGTAATTTCCTGGAAAAACATTGCCTATACAAATGAATAATATATTTCTTAATTCAATGAACATTTAAATTCGTTAATCTGCTCAACAACGAAATCCTTGAAAACTGGTGCCCAACGAAAACTGATGAAATTACAGTATATATTTGAACTAGGTGAAGTGAGTTTGAATGCATGCTGGAATGCGAAAGAGAAAGATTGTTTTAATATTTCTTGGAGTATTGCTGACACCGAGCATTGCAGCTTAAATAGCGATTTTGGTCCTATACTTGACAGGTGGGATATTTGCTCGTTAATTTCATTGATTTAGATTTGATAACTTTTAACTAAAAATAAAACTGATTGTATGTATTTTAAATGGGATGGACTATAAGGTATTTTAAAAAGCTTATTTTGATGAATATAAATACTGTACAATTTTTGTGAGGTAAAATTTTCTTTTTTTGAGGGAAAACTATTGGTTCATTGGGATTTGATGTCTTTGATGAAGAATTTTGGGGCGAGTATGAAATTTTACATTTCGTGGTTGACGAATGAATATTTCGAAAACAACGATAATTAACACCCCCCACCCAACCCCGAAGAATAATTACTTTCACAATAGAATTTAACTTGGCATAACAACTGTTTTGCTTTTAAAGGCGCATTGAGCAAGTTTGAAAATATTGTAAAAATTGATTTTTGCATCATTGGTATTTTTAGTCTCTATGAAGATGGTTGAGTTACTACATGTATCTCAATCTTATACAGGTGGCTAACCGTTGATGTGAATAATTCTACGTAAATAATCAGTTCCTTTAATTATTCAATTAATTAGCAAATTACTTTTTTTGAAACCTTTGGTGTGAAAGATATGAAAATGACTGACAAGAGTTAAACATTATTGGCATTATATTTCATCTAAATTCAATAAAATATATATAGTTTTGTTGATTTTTTTTCTCATTAATGGTAAACAACGAATGTTTGCACAAGCTGACATTCTGTTTATTTCGATTTTTTTTTCTTTCTGCACCATTTTTTTATGAAATATTAAACTGCAAGACATGTTTTATGTTTAATTAAAGAAGCTTCTCCAACACCTGAAAATATCAGAGGTGGGATCAGGTGTTTATGGAGGATTAGTCGTCCACTCCCACGAAGTCGGATTGTATAATGCATCAGTTGTCGCTTTATTTCATAAAGAAATATTTCTCGTAGATAGGCAGGGTAAATGTTTAAACTTGATTTTGGATGTCTGTTTTTGGTGTTTTATGAAGTATTTTCTTCATAATAATTAACATTTATTTAACTTTCTTGAAAACTTTCTTATTCAGAATGCATTTTTATCTCACAAAAAACTAACAACAAGCTGGAAAAATTTTACCGACCCAAAATGATGCTGGAATATTGAAAAAGGAAGTGCAACCAAAGCGCCCCCAGGTGTTTTTATTAAAAGGGGCAATAATCAAATAAAATATTTGACAAGAACGATAATCACTAGGAATAAGTACTGAGATTTAGGTAACATAAGGCGGTTATGCACTCCCTTCGATAAAAGCAGCTAATTCAATTCAGTGAATTAGCTTTGAATAATATTCATGTGAAATATTGAATATTGAATTCACATTAAGTCATGAGATGTTTCGTGCATGTATAAGACACTTATTAAATTCCATGTATATTTCAATAGATTTAAGACTGAATAACCTTTTTTGGTTTGATGTTTTTGCCTGTTTGATCAGTATTTGTTTGTCAAACGTCCCTTAAGGATATATGATACAAACAAACTTATGTCCAAAAAATTGAAAATAACAACTTGGGTCATGTTTAATTGACTAAAATGAATAAGTTTCACCACGTAGTTTTTAATTTTTTATTCAAAATTTCACAAAATTGGGATTTGAAATGAAAAATATTTGTATAGATTAATAAGAATGGTTTCAGAAGGATAGACTTTTGAACTTCACAGAAGGTTTACAATTTCTTTATCTTCTAGAAATTTAGTATTTGCATCATTTGCAATGAAATTAGGCCAAAAAATGTATACCTATCCAGGCATCCATTTTTTGTTAGTATCATGTGTCCTTAAGAAAAATTCACATATATACTGAGAGGTAGCCACTTGCCGTTGTGTGGATTCAAATTGATACCTGTACACTGGCACTTAAGGCTAATGAACAATGGTGGATCTTTTTTTCGTGCCAACACTTACTACGATGATTGATCTCGGTTTAAATTCACATCATCCAAGGATCGGTCTCAACGTCCCGCAATAATTGGATCCAGAGATGTACCGGAAAAATCAACTTCTTACCTCGCGACTGTAGAACAAACACTCTAACCACTACGTTACAAAGACATCTGATGAAATTTGAAATACAGGTATTTCCGTTTTGAATTAATAATTTTGAACACCGGTCTTATAAGTGATGTGATCGCTGATGCGAGGTATCGTGAGGTCACACGTCCTGCAGCGTTCAGAATAGTTACATTTGCCATACTTTATTTACGTTACATTTTCATTTGCCTATAACATGTATAAAAAGGTGTGGAAATTTATGGCATTCAAAAGACCATAAACACGGAAAACGGGCCAAAAGGTTAAAGCATGCTTTTTATTTTGAAGTCACAAACGTGTAGCAGTGACGGAGAACAACGTCTTAAGCGAAAAAAAATAACGCTCACGTTGACAAGAAGCTGTTACATTGGCTCTTCTATTAAAAGTGGCTTACTCGAAAGATAATATATGGAATTTAAAATGTAAATCACATTGGCAGTCAAGGCATAGAGTTTTAAAAATGTAAATATAAGCAATGAATCATTATTTTAGAAAGATAGTCTCAACACAGCAACGGTGTGCTCAAACAAATTTTCATAACGCGCTGATGCGCGTTACTCGATTTGTTTGCACAAACCGGTGCGGTTATGAGACTGTTTCTTTCAAAATTTAATGAATCATTGCTTAAATGTACATTGGATATGGTAAATGTTTCGCACAAAAAAAAACCTGAAAAGAAATCCTTTCATGCTTCTTATTTGAACCGAATCTGCTTACTAGTCAAAAATCCCTTTAGGTATTAGCCTATAGGCCATTACAGTCAATGTCAAGACAGAACTACCACATTTTTCTTCGTACGAGACGAAAGATTGTTTAATCGGTGAGAAGGAACGTTTTATAGGTTACCCTAGGGAAGTGTACTTTTACGGGACCCTCAACAAGGTAAACAATTTATTCATTGCGACATATTTATTATATTCAACATCGATGTAATTAATGTGTATGTTAAAAAAAATGTCCTAACTACTCTTTATTTTTCCCCTAACTCCTTCCACACGGCTTTGGCATTATATCTTGAAATTGTGACATGAATGTATATCTCTACATGGTGCGTATATGATTTAAGAAAACGAACAATTTTTAAAGGATGGTACTCATGGTACCTGAGGCACAGATTTTTATTTATCCAGAAACTTCGTGTGACAGGCTGATTCACATAAAGAAGACCATATAGTAGATTCAGTAACCTGTATGTCAACAAATGAAATTAAACTAATTTGAAAAATGAAAAAAAAAATCATTCATACAAGGGACTTTTATTTCTGTGCTTTGATCGAACTTTTATAATCATTTTACGATCTTATCATTCCTAGCTGCAGAATCTAATATATAAAAACTTTAGAATAATTTCCATTTTCTTGTATTTCGTCACCATTTCCTCTTCCCATTTGTCTTTTTTCTAAACTAATGGGATTCCTTTTTTTCATTTCTTGTATACCTTTTTTTTCCCTGAACTTTTCTTTACAGAAAACAATGGCAGATAACGACTATCTGTTACCCAGTGATTCCATTCATGAATTACTTTTGGATTCGGGTCCTTCCTTTTTTCCAATCGGAATCGTTGTGGTTCTTGGAGCTTTGGTCTTGTCAAGTATAAGAAAATTTTACATTTTTTACTCTTTTTGCCTTCTTGATATGTGCTATTTAATTTTGAAAATAGAGGTCCAAGTAATAAGTGCAAGAAATTTGACCTTAACTCATGTACAATATACAACCTATCAGACCTAGAAAATTTCATTTTTTAAATATGTTTCAGACAACCGTGTGCAGGATGCGAGGCTATCAAATCTGCAAGGTTTATTTTTCATTTTACCTAGACTTTTAAAGAGAAAAACATGGTTATTAGTTTAGTCACTATAATCAAATTAAAATCATGTAGGGGTGCATAATCTTTTAAAACAAACTACAAAGGTATTGTTAGTGTATTTAAAAAAACTTTTTTAAAAATGATAATATAACATTTTGATTTGACTAGTTAGATTTTTTTTTGGTTTTAGACCAATTGTTGGAATGTGAACAAAGAGCAAACACACCGGGTAAGTAGATAATATTCCAAAAATTAAATTCTATCAAAAGATATGAAGTAACATACAAATAAGAAGTAACAGTCAAATCAGGAAGGGGATTAAGAATATATTCACATTTTTTTATTCTTTATACAATAAAGAACAAAGGACTGTAATAATGTGCGGGGCCGATGATGGAGAAATCCGGTGTGAAAACTCCAAAACTCTAACTATTGTGTCTGCCAACTATGGACGAACCGAGCCTACAGCCCAGGTCTGTCCGTCTACATCAGCTTCAATGGATGATACCAACTGTAGACTAGATGTTCTCAACAAGCTGTCTCAAGATTGTAATGGTAAAACACGGTGTGCTGTTCCAACTAGATTGAATGACTTCGGAGGTTCCAGTGTCAATCCGTGTCCCAGCACCTATAAATATACAGAAGTTCAATATACTTGTTCGTAATATATGCTTTGTTTTCACTTGTTTTTGTTTTCCATTTTCGCTCGTCAAGGGTCTTCGGTCCAAGTCACACCCTAAAAACCTTCGACTAGATAATATGTTTTATGTATTGAAAAATGTGCAAAACTGAAAATAAAATGTTTTTATGTACTGAATATTGAGAGAATGCAAAGGAATTACGTGATTTTTGTCGTACTTTCTCCCTTTCAACATATATGTTTTCGATTTTAGTTATAACTTACCATTTCAATATATAAGCATTTTCTTTTAGTTCTTTTGAAGGGTTACTAAATTATAACTAGAAATTGACCGATTTAGAGAAAAACGAAACAAAATGGTTATTTTCAGAGCGATGGATAAGGTCGTTGCACAAATTTGTACATTTAAAAAATATTTCTGTCAAAAAGAAAATAGCAGATGATTTTATGTTTAATGCAAGATAAAGATTGACCGTGAAAAAGAATCGATCTTTGAAATAATAACTGTACAGAATCTGGATAAACTGGTACAAGAGATAAAAGATTAGTATGAGTACTGACTTTGACAAAACCAACATTTACACTTTACTCAAAAAAATACTTATAAATATTCCAATGTACAGTATACTGTCATGAGACCTTCCATTATTTCCCGATCATGATAAGGAGCACACGTCGCGTGTGATCAGTCAGCAGGGGATGCTCACTCTTCTATAGTACCTTATCCCATCTCTGCTGTGTTGAAGGTCCGTGCTTCCTCTGCTCCTCTTTTATACTGTTTTATGAACTTTTGATCTTAAATACTGTTCGTTATCTCCATATGTTTCATCTCAATTTCCCCCCCCCCCCCGAAACGAAGGGATAAATTATACTCAACAAAAAAAAGAAACGCATATTCAGATTAAACTTTTCAGTTTAAACCTTAATTTTTAAAAGTGATTTTAGAGTGAGTGCGTTGTGATAAAAATCAAATAAGTTGTATGCTCCAAATTGAAAAGTTAAACTGATGTCATTGACGTCGCCTTCAAATTCTAGAGGCATACGTCTTTGCCAATCCATACGTCCTTTGCAACCTCTCAGCGCTAGTGGATTTCCAATGTACGTCGTGCACGAATACCAGCTCCTCTCAGTCTTTTACGAACAATTTGTGCACTTTATGCTGATTTCAGCAGTTTTTACAGCAGTTCCCAGTCAATTGCGCAGGTGCTGATTGAGGATCTGACGGCCCTTTCTGGGTGTGGTAACCCGCGAACGGCGGATTCTAGGTCTGCCATCTGTGTTCCTAACTGGTGGAGACGTGCGTTTAACTGCTGCAAAGCCGACCGATGTACACCAAATGCAGTTGCAACTTTCAGTTGCGTAGTTCCGGTTATAGTCTGGTCCTGATTTTTAAAAAGAAGGCTAGAAATGACTTCTAACGGCAAATAATTATTATTTGGTCCAGCAAATTTTTTAAACCTATTTCGAGTGTGTTGAATCCGAAAAAATATGCTGGCCTTCATGAAAATGACGTTAAAGAGGTCAAAAGGGTGATTCAAAATGGCGGACATCCAATTTTTCTAATTTTCTCTTAATGTCGTTCAAAATGAACAACTAATGAGTGAATATCTAACTGAGTATAACAAAACTATAAAAAAAATATAATAGAATGCTAAGTTTAACTTAGTTTAACTTATAAAATTTAATCTTTTCTACACTTAATTCGAATTTTCTCTGATTTATTTGTCTTTTGTTCCTTTATTCTTCTTTGTTCAGGATTTTACATTTGCAAACATCCGTACACTGCAGATTTGTATTTTTTCCTCGACATCTCACTATTCTACAATTGAATGATGGTGCAGCTGTAAGTTGAAATTCAAAATGGCGATTCAAAATGGCGCATATTCCTTTTTTTTAAAAATTATTTCTTAAATTTATTTACATTGGAGAGAGGATTTGTGAATATCTTATTGATCGAAGTACAACTATGCAAAATTCCAATAGAACACTAATATGATCACTTTAAATCAGGAAATTTTATTTGTTTAAATTTAAAATGTGTTATTTAGCTCAAAATGGCAATTCAAATGACGTTTTATACACTCGATTTTGTAAAATACCCAAACTGCTTAATTCTGACTCGTTTAGCAGATTTTGAAAATAAATCGCAGTTTTTTATATATTCCTGAAATAATGTTTAAATATGTAATGAAAGTTGGAGGATATTTTTGATGACTTATCAAAGAGAGACTTATAAAGATAAATTTTTACGACTATTCCGAAGACATTTTACCTATTATCCGTCTTATCATGCTTCTTCATATTAAAAGTTAATAATATCATACAATAATTGCTGTTTTTAGGACAATATGAAAATTAAGCTACCCAAGAGCAGTATTCCCCAAGCATTAAGGCGAGTGAACATTGTAGTTCGAGGGTTGCTAAATCATCTCAGTTGTTAAAAATTCTTGATCTATTTTTAGTCCAGTGTAGAAAAAAATAAATGTTTATGTTCATGTGGAAGGTCTAGTGCAACATAACTTAGTATGATTTTTAAAATGTTGAACCAATTAGAGGGCTAGTAATTGTTACATCATATAAATCTGAATACATTATAATATCCAAATATAAACATATTTATTAAGAATTATCAGTATAATATACGTAAACCATAAATTTTCTTGATTGTCCAGCTCTGATTCTGTGTCCCTACATTTGCATTTTGTTATTCTCAGTTAAAAATTCAACTGTATTCTCAAATATTTCATGTTGTGAACGGTCCTCCTCCACCAATTTTGTATTTAACAGTGTATATAGATTTAAAAATTTTGAAATTTACAAAATCTGAAAGAAGAAATGTTTGTGATCAATCCTCCATCGACTCTTGATACAACCTTACACTATCCTAACAAAGAAGTGTGGATCAAGTTGCCTTGTAAAGTTCTTGGAGTGTTCGACAAGAAAATTTTGTTGTCAAGAGAAGTGTTGACTAGATCGAAGTCAAGAATGGCTTAGGCCTATTGGTACGAAAGCTTATAAGTGATAGGAATCACGAGGAATCTGCAGGCGCACTTAAATTGCATAATTATACAACTTTTCTAACCAAAATATACACACAATTTGATTCCAGATGATAAAGTTTGAGAATTTTCTTGTTTATAGAATGACCTTTCTACCCTAAAAGACAACAAATATATACGCGGTCACGAAATAAAGAGCTACATGTCTTGAATATCAGAGATTTTTTATAACCCCCCCTCCCCCCCGCTTGAAAAGCGGGAGGATATAAAGTAATAGGTATATCCGTCCTTACGTCTTTTACGTTTTGGGATACCCATCTCTTATCCACAACTCCTCTCATACCACTGGATGAAACTTGATAAACTTTCACAGAATCTTTATTACATATTTTTGATCTAACGCATATTTTGGGTTTCACCTAGCAAAACATGGACACTGTCATTATTATATTCATATGGGAGACAGGGGGTATCATTTAGTGAGCTCACAGTACCTCTACTTCATTTTGCATAAGGTTTTGGAAAACAAAATAGACTTTTAACATTTGAACATAAATGTGTTGTTCCTTGAGTGTTGATTGATTGATTGTATGTTGTTTAACGCCGAATCGGCAATTTTCAGCCATGTTTCAGCGGACTATCAGTTTAAATAATCGGTTTTTGAAGGATGTTGGTTTCTCTGGCGGCCCCCAATGAGCTTACTCTTTTTCGAACTCCAGAGAAACGATCTTTTACGTGCCAAGTGGGTTGTCATCCTTGACACGGGGCACCATTTCTTGAGTGTTGAAAATACCAAAATTCCGAAGACAGACTGAAACATATAACAAATACAGTTGGAATAGAAGAAGTTAGGGGATAATACTAAGTTCTTATAAGTGCTAAAAAGCTAAACCAAAGTATTCGATGAAATCGGACAAGAATTTCTGTATATTTGATGGTGTGCTGGGGATGTTGAGGTAGAAATGCGAGTTGATAAACACAGGGTTCAGGAGTGATTTTAGGTGGATGGGGGCTCAAAGGCTTTGGAACAATCGGTCAATTACGAGGTGGAAAATTTGGAAACTTTTGAGTCGAGTTTGATTTAACTATTTCCAGAAAAAAATGAATCTTTTCTAGTATTCTTTGTTTTTTCATATTTAATGGACTAATCAATATACTATATATGTATAAAAGAAACTGTAATTTATTTTCTGCAAAACAACTCAAAATTAAGCAGTTTGACTGTTTTACGAAATTCGAGTTAATATGAGTCATTTTGAATTGCCATTTTGAGCTAAATAACACATTTTAAATTTAAACAACTAAATTTTCCGATTTAAAGTGATCATATTAGTGTTTTAATAGAATTCTACATAGTTAATTGTACTCGCTCAGTAAGATATTCACAAATCCTTTCTCCTAATATGTAAACGACATTAAGAAATAATTTGAAAAAAAGGAATATTCACCATTTTGAATCGCATCCAGCTGCACCATCATTCAATTGTAGAATAGTGAGATGCAGAGGGAAAAAATACAAATCTGCAGTGTATGGATGTTTGCAAATGTAAAATCCTAAACAAAGCAGAATATAGAACAATAGACAAATAAAACAGAGAAAATTCGGATTAATGTTAGAAACGACTAAATTTTCTGAGTTAAACTAATAATGTTAGCATTCTTATATCATTTTTATAGTTTTATTATACTCAGTAAGATATTCACACATTATTTCTCCTTTTTGAACGATATTGAGAGAAAATTAGAAAAATTGGATGTCCGCCATTTTGAATCGCCATTTTGACCGCTTTCCCGCCATTTTCATGAAAGCCAGCATATTTTTTCGGATTCAGCATACCCTAAATAGGTTAAAAAACTATGCTGGACCAAATAATAATTATTTGTCGATAGAAGTATTTTTTTCTATAAATCGGACCAGACTATTAGAATCATTGTTAGAGCTTCATTGCGTTCATCTTTGTTTAGGCGTGGCATTGCAGCATCAACATTGTAATCAAAGCAAAAATGTGGGTTTAATAGGAGTGTTTATTGTTTCTCTAAATCCAAAATTTCATTGAAAATAGACCCCCGATTTACAAGAAATCATACAAAACACTATTTTCATAAACATTATTAATCAATTTTAGGGAAATAATTCAATAATTTGGGTTTAAAAGCCCATGGTGTACTTTAAATAGGTCACAGGTATTTAATGGTTAAAAAGATAGTTGTTCCATATAC